ATAATGATAATACTCACTTATATACCGCTCATTGTCCGCTAGCTCCAGGTGCTTAAAATATGTACTGTCCCCGTGGTTTTATGCACCCCGCATAATTTTTCAAAATTTTATTTTTTGGGGGGTTTATCATTTTTTGTTGAAATTAACAGAATCGCATAATTTCACATTTTTTGGGCTCAGTTTGCATAATTTCAGATTTTATTTTGTTTAAAACCACAGATACAGACAATAAAATAACATTTGGATAGCTTACACAATGACACAATTATTTAAAATTTGTGCATGCCGGCCGAGACGTTCAGAAAGGATTGAGAACGTAGAGATCTCTAGAAGACGGCCTTTTCAATACATATCTGCAGAGGCGGAGGATGGATCAAAGTGTCGATGGGGCTCAGAACTGAGGGAAGGTTAAGTTAAAAAATAAGATCTTCTCGATTGAGACGAAAGTCTAGGTAAAATGTGTGAGTGTAAGAAAACCCTGATATGAGTGAGTGTGTAGGAAAACCTAGAGATATGTGTGAGTGTATAGGAAAGTATAGGAATGTCTGAAAGTATAGGAATGTGTGAGTGTGTTTGAGTGTGTAGGAACACCTAGATATAATATTATGTGAGTGTGTATGCGTGCGTATAGACACAGAAAGAAAGACATTCCTAACGAGGGCTCAATAATCGTGTTGGTTACCGAGTTTGTGGGAAAAGTGCCATGTACGTTCACCCTATTGTCACGACTTGCGAAATATGAGCCTTCTCTACTTAGGTTTGCGCCAGTTCTTTAAAAAAAAAAGGTGACCTTTTTGCAAGAAAAAATTTGTAAAGGAAAGACCAGGAGAACGGACCCATCCTTTGCTCAGCCCTAGAGATATTATTAATTTGACTGGATGTTGTATCGTTGTAAAGGGTGACAAAAGTGATTGGATTAATTAGTTTGTGTGTGTGTTCACTGTATGCTGCTAGAGTTGGAAGATTCAAAAATCATTCTAAACGATTTCAACTGATGATTTCGTTAATTAGCATTTAATATTCATTTACGTGAGGAAAGACCTTGGGGGAAGGTGGGGGGGGGGGTCTGTGCTCACTAGATGTTAATGCTGTAATCTGAGGGTCATATTTTTCAACAGTCATCCTTCTGTGCAACTTGTAGGAAAGTGTCTTCAAGAGGTTTATTCAAACATTTTTGTCTACACTTGGTTGTGTTCCTTTTACAATTGGGTGTCGCATTCAACGAGGTTGCCGGGACCGGCTTGTTGTCCTCGTTGTATCCGACCTCTTGTTGAACGTGACAAGTTATTATATTACACGACGTATCAATACCAGTAATTAAAACAGCTATTCCCCCTGATGACGAAAATCTCAAACAGCACCGTGTTTGAGCTGTGTTCGGACCGTCATTTCTGAAAAAAAAATTTTTTTTACCAGAACACTTCTCGTGCGGAAACGTACCCTCTCACATGAAGGCCTAGACCTACATAA